GTTCTGTCTTAGCAAAAAGCCAGCTGGGTGACCTTGGGCCAGGCACTCTCTCTCAGCCCGAAGAAGCAGGCAATGGAAAGCACTCCTAAAAATCTTGCCAAGAAAACTGCAGGGACTTGTGCAGGCAGTTGTAGGAAACAACACTGATTTGAAAACAAACACATACAAAATACCATATAAACTATAAAAGATTTTTGTTGTCTCTAGGAATTTTATTTTATTTTTTAAAAAAGAAAAAATGCTACCCAGATAATTAAATCATAGGAGTCAGAATGACATCTTTTAATGTGAAGAAGAAAATCCATTCTCATTCTTAAAATTGACATTCTGTGGAATGGCTTCCTAAGGACAGAGAGTGTATCATCGTTAAACATTTTGAAGCCAAATGCCAACAGTTCACTCAGAGCCATTCTATTGAATGCTTAAGACCAGCCCCAGCCAGAGAAGCTCCCTGAGTGATTTTGGGTGCATGACTCTCTCTCAACCAGCCCACCTCACTAGGTAGTTGTTATGAGGAAAAATTGGAGGAGGGAGTGCTGGGTAAGCTGTCTTAGGTTCTGAAGGAAAGTTGGGCTATAACAAAGAAACAAATAAATTCTCTCATTTTAAATTTTTGTAATTATTTTTTATAATATATAACTCTTTAAGTTTTCAAAATAAATCAATGGATTTGGCATGTGTTTAATTATGAATACTATATACATATACAGACACAGACACAGACAGACACAAATGCAGACACAGACAGATACACACAGACAGACACACACACACACACACGTGTGTGAGTGTGTGTGAGTCTGTGTGTGTGTGTCTGTCTATGTCTATGTATATAGTATTCATAATTAAACACATGCCAAATCCATTGATTTATTTGGAAAACTTAAAGAGATTTGTTTCTCATTTTGCTGTTAAGGCAGTGCAATCCTCAAAAGTTGGTCCAAATCAGTTCAGTGGAACTTACTTCTTAGTAATTGTCTAATCATAGTTTTCATTATCTTAATTTTTACTGGATGGCATCAAGAGTAAATAAAAGCTGCATGAAAGATAAGATAAAAACAATATCTACTACAGTATATAAAAATCCAACTATGGATAGTGCTTTTCATGGTTTCTTTCTATTTTTGTTTTTATATATATATATATTTTTGCAGCTGGTAGAACCTTTGACTCCAAGTGGCACAGCACCCAATCAGGCACAACTACGCATTTTGAAGGAAACTGAGCTAAAGCGTGTCAAGATCCTTGGATCGGGGGCCTTTGGAACTGTCTATAAGGTATGTTTCAGTCCTTCAACTGTTGTTCCCAGGAACTTGTGGTTAACCAAGTGGAAAGGCAGAAATCAATGGGCTTTTAGAATAGGATATCAATCTCCTTTTCTTAGAAATGTTCAGCTTAATATAATCCCTCTTATTTCTTCTCTTAATCAACTGAATGGCCACTAAGAAGCTGGGAATGGTTGGCAAGAGTTGGAGGACCAAATGCTGTGCAATTTGCTCTACTAGTGCATAAGTTAGCTTGTACCTTCAAGCACAGTCAAGTGCTTGCCAGTGTGTGCTTGTATCTTCAAGCACAATCAACTATTGCCAGTGTGAAAGTGTAAGTGGTATGGTCAAATTGTGGTTAAAGAGGACTATTTTAACATTTGATGAGACAGCTCTTGTTCACTTTTCCATCACTTTTTAGGGCATTTGGGTTCCTGAGGGAGAGAGTGTGAAGATTCCTGTAGCAATTAAAATACTGAATGAGACAACTGGTCCAAAGGCTAATGTGGAGTTTATGGATGTAAGTAATATTAATGTCCAATTTCAGTTATATGTATGTATGTTATTGATAGTTTAGAGTCAACATATTGGCCCCAACAATCTGGGTCCTCATTTTACCAACCTCAGAAGGATGGAAGGCTGAGTCCACCTTGAGCCCATCAGACTGAACTCCAAAGCTGTGGACAGAATTAGCCTGCAATACTTATTCTAACGACTAGGGAATCATTAAGGCTCCTATAAATTATACATAGACAACTATTAGCCAACCACTACAGGATCCTGCACCCACATTCTATTGTTTTCTTTTTCTTTTATCATTTCTTCATAAATATATCAATTTCAATGAATTTGACACTGACTCAGGCCTATCTTTTCAATGTCCTTAATCACTTAAGGCTCTCACCACATCATGCCCATCAATCGTTCCACAAGGCAGCAGCAGAGACATTCCTTGCAATTGGTTGCTTCTTCATTTGATGATCTGTGCAGTGGATTATTAATTCTGTTTATTTTTAATATGCATCACACACAATTGCACTGTTGTAGCTGCCACCTTTATTGTTTTACCACAACCTGTGGACACTCATTCCAACAGCAAGCAAAGAAACATCATCAGAACAAAGCAATAGCTCTTTGAAATCGCGCTGCCTTGATGATGCAGCTTTCCCTACACAAAACCACATGTGAAATCGCTTCATATTCTGTATTTAACCATAAGGGGTTTTTTTTGTCAAAAAAGATTCAAGCTGTCTGTTTGCTAAGTCTTATATTTCCTTAGATTGTTCTAAGCACCAGCTCAGACTAGAAAGCAATTTTCTTCATCATTACCAGGTTATCTGTTATCAAACACTGCACCAAATGTAATTAACAGTAGTTTACATTGATACAATTGTCATATTGCTTTATTTTCATTTATTTTATTTATATCCCGTTTCTCCACAAAATATCAGAATAGGGCTGGAAGGGAGACCCTATACCATTTCAGATAGGTGGCTGTCCAGTCTTTTCTTAAAAACCTCCAGTGATGAAGCACCTAGAACATCTGAAGGCAGAAGCTTCTGAAGCTGTTCCACTGGTTAATTGTCCTCACTGTGAGGAAGTTTCTTCTTAATTCCAGGTTGCTTCTTCTTTGATTAGTTTCCATCCATTGTTTCTTGTCTTGCCTTCTGGTGCTTTGGAAAATAAGCTAACCCCCTCTTCTTTGTGATAGCCTCTCAAACACTGGAATACTGCTATCATGTCACCCCCTAGGCCTTCCTTTCTCAAGACTGGCCATACCCAATCTGGAAACCGTTCTTTGTATGTTTTTGTCTCCATGCCCTTAATCATCTTAGCTGCTGTTCTTTGTACTGTTTCCAAAGTCGCAACATCTTTTTTGTAATGTGGTGAACAAAACTGGATGCAATATTCCAGGTGTGGTCTTATTAAGGAGTTATAAAGCGGTATTAATACTTCATGTGATTTTGATTCTAATGCTTCTGTTTATACAACCAAGGATTGTATTAGCTTTTTTGGTTGCTGCCGCACACTGGTGGCTCATATTTAAGTCATCACCACTAGGACTCCACAGTCCCTCTCATAGTTACTGTTATTGAGCCAGGTTTCTGTACTTGTACTTTTGATTTCTCCTGCCCAGGTGTAAAACCTTGCTTTTCTCCACATTAAATTTCATTTTGTTGTATAGGGCCCAGTGTTCAAATCTGTCAAGATCTTTTTGGATCCTGAGTTTGTCTTCTGGGGTGTTGGCTAGTCCTGCCAGCTTAGCATAATCTGCAGATTTGATGAGTTCCCCTTCTATTCCCCCATCCAAGTCATTTATAAAGATATTGAAGAGTACTGGGCCCAAGAAGGAACTGTCATGGTTCCGACAGACAGAGACGAATAAAGCAGAACTCCAAGGCTTGCAAATTCCTCAAAGAACATGTTTATTAGTTACAAAGTATCGGCATGTCAAAAGTGAAACCAAGTCTGGATACACAAGCAACAATTCCCCAATACAAAGATAAATGTCCCACCCACAAAAGCTATGTAAGCAACTACGTTCCCCAATATAATTATTTGGCGGGCTTTTTATGAAATGCCCAGTCTCTATTCTTGGGAGCAGCTGATGAACTTGGTTCCCATGGGACAAAAGATTATTTTGACTAGCGAAGCACCTGGGCAACCCCTCTCCCTCTGTTCTATGTGGCAAGCTATAACGAGAAGGAAAATGGCTGCAACCATGCTCATTTGTAAAGTTAGCAGTCAGCCCCTCTCAAAAAGATAGAGTCTCAAGTAGGGAAAACAAAAAGCAGGTTAAGTATTCCCTCGAGGCTTGTGAGGATATTTATTGTAAAACTTTTTTTATTAATCTATCTGTTTTCACATTAGTACACTTCACCCATGTAGCTTCTGAAAGGGGGTAGCCTTTCCACTGAATGAGATATTATAACTTTCCCTTGTACAACCTAGAATCAAGAATTCATTTTATTTCATAATCTGTCTCCCCCTCTACCACTATTGGACCCGGCAGCTTCTTAGAGATAGGTTTCAAAGAGGATTCTGATACAGGCTTTAACAGACTGCAATGAAACATAGGGTGAACTTTTCCTGTGTTTTAATTCCACTGTGACACAGTTTATGATCTTAGTGATGGGAAAAGGACCAAGGAATTTTGGACCCAATTTTCTACTGTGTAACTTTAACCTTAAATATTTTGTTGAAAGATAAACCAATTGCCCAACATGAAAAGGCTTCTGAGGGGAATGTTGTTTATCTGCTTGCTCTTTGTAAACCTTGGTGACCTTGGTCAATGCCTTCTTCACATTCATCCAAACCGTCTGGAAGTGTGTCATCGATTGGTCCAAAATCTGGGAAGTAGGAGGCTCCTGTGGGTACTCAGGCATGGGCACAAAATCTCAACCCATTACTATTTTAAATGGGGTGAGTCCAGTGCTACTGTGCACAGTGTTGTTGTAGGCTACCTCTGCAAAAGGCAGGAGATCAGCCCAGTTAGTCTGCTGGTAATTTACACAATACTGTTCCACCATTGCGTTAGCTTTCTCAGCAGTTCCATTAGTATTCAGATGAAAAGCTGATGAAAGCCCCTGGATGGACCCAGTCAGTTTAATGAACTCCTTTCAGAACGTAGCAGTAAACTGGATCTCTCTGTCAAAAATAATTCACTTTGGGGGACCATGGGGTCAATATATGTGTTTCAAAAACAGCTTGGTTAGCTTCTGGGCAGAGGGGAGTCCTGAGCAAGCGATGAAATTTATTTATTGAATTTATATACCACCCTATCTCCCTTACGGGACTCAGGGCGGTGAACAGGCGATAATAAAAACCATGATAAATATAGGCAGTTCTAAAATCAAATTAAATAATGGGCCTGTTCTAAAAACACACCCATACAAAAAACCCCACTAAAACATAATCAAACTACGCCAGGCCGGCCGCACGGAATAGATGGGCCTTCAGGGCTCGGCGAAAAAGGCGCAGGTCCGCAACTGTACGTAGGTCGGGGGGTAGGTCATTCCAGAGGGCAGGAGCTGCCACAGAGAAGGCTCTCCCCCTGGGGGTCGCCAGCCGACATTGTCTGGCCGACGGCACCCTAAGGAGGCCCTCTCTGTGGGAGCGGACTGGTCGAAGGGAGGTGTTTGGTAGGAGGCGGTCTTGCAAATAACTAGGTCCATTGCCATGGAGCGCTTTAAAGGTTGTTACTAACACCTTGAAGCGCACCCGGAAGGCCACAGGCAGCCAGTGCAGCTCACGCAGGAGAGGTGTTACATGGGAGTATCTAGAGGCCCCCAGGATCCCCCGCGCGGCCGCATTCTGAACTAGCTGGAGCCTCCA